CCCGGCACCGGAACGCGAGCTCAGGAATGCCCCCTGTTCTGGTGCAGTGTGATCGGAAAAGATGCTGCATGCACTATTTTTTTCCGATTGCACTGCACCAGAACGGAGGGCATTCTTGCATCTTGCGTTCCCGTCAGGGCGGCATGCCTGCAGTGCAATTGACATGAATGGCACCACCACGCCCCCTCCCAACGCAGAACGTGGCCCAGCCTGAACTATGCAATCCAGTGCGTTTCGGGTTCGGACCATGCCAGAACGCACTGGATACAGTTTGACTGGGCCCTCAAGCAGAACTCCGGGCAAATAAAATCTTAACCAGTGAAGTGGGGCTACCCCCTACTCATTTTGTCTAGGGAGATAAAATAAAAAAATTATTTTCACCCGAACTGCGGTCCTACACTGGTCCTTGCAGCCTGCCTCCTCCGCTCCAGTGATGAAATGTCCTTCCGTGTCCTCACGTTCTATACACTGTATGGAACGTGATGACTTACAAGTCCTTAGACCACAGTAGCGGAGGGGGAGAGAGACTGAAGGGAGCGGTCTAACACCCCAAGTAGTAAAGAATATCATCAGCACACCAAAGTAAAATCTTCAACGAGTGGCCACTTTATTGCTGTACACACATCTCGTCACAAAGTAACGTTCCGGGGCCACTCAGGATCCCTTCATCAGGCATGATGAGTGACCGCGAAACGTTGCTTTATGACGAGATGTGTGTACATCAATAAAATGACCGCTCGTTGAAGATTTTACTTTGGTGTTCTGGTGATATATTTTACTAGGTGGATTTGAAGTGGCACCATCCACTATCACTGCAGCACCCACTTTAAAAAGGGACATACCAGTAAAGAGTGCGGTGGAGACCTCTTTGGAACCGGTCAAACACCCCAATCGCACCTCCCGGCTGCAATGCACTCAGCCGCACTGCAACACGCAGTACCACGTTACTGTGCATTGCGGTTGAAAATAAAGCCGTGCATGCTGGAATGTAAACAATGCAAAAGCCTGTGCACTGCACTGATCGTGGTTGCAATGCTCTGCAGTCTTTTAACAAATGCACATGTATTTCTTTTATTAAGGTGTCACAACAGCCAGGAGAATAGCATTTTTAGGAGAGGTCAGCAATGACAGGCTGCATGCCTCTTGGTAGGATTCAGCAGCAGAAATACACAAGCATTGCTTCTATGAAATGGATGACAGAGCTGATACATCTATACTTATCACAATACAAGGCCATTGCTGACAATGAGTAGCACCGCTGCATCCCTTTGTGTCATCAGGGTCAGAGATGTGACAGGAGAGCAACATTTCCATCTCCATGTGTCAGCATCATACACATGGCTGAGGTAATGCTGGTTCTTGTAGTTCCCCCCTGGCTGTACAATGATTGGAGACAGAATAATCATGCAGTGTAAAGGTACCTGCGGAAGGTGTACACACACAGGCGTGCCGCATACATGACCGGGATGGAGTGCGGCTCAGCGTGCACACACAGGCACAGCTACCACTGTCACGTGACAGGAACAACATGGCTGCCATGCTTTATGAGGGCAAACCCAACCATTCATTTACCGTCCTGCCTCAACCGCACTCCAACTCACCTACACCGTGTCTGCCATACCTTAAGCATCATAGGAAGTCGCCGACTGTGCAGAAACCATGTGTTTATTCTCGCCGTCCGGTGACGGTTATCGTGCTTTGGAAGCAGTTAAACTTCTCCAATTCAAGGGAAATATACATATTTTCTCTGGGCGGGGTCGGAGTTGGGAACCCCGCTGCCGTTTTCGGTCGGGGCGGCGGTAAGTGGAGTTTGTGCCCTCAGTAAAGATGGCGGCAGAAGAACACGAGGGGTGGCTACCCACTCCAGCTGCGCCTGGTACTGCAGGATCCTATAGCACTGAACTAGATGCAGCTTGGCTTGGCATGACTCGGTTGTTCAGCCCAACTTCACTGTGTACTATCTTTTGAGACGTAAAGCCATGTTCTATGGAGATAGTGCTGACAAATGGTTGTGAACAGGACCTTCCCTATAGTTCAGACAGCACATCATCGGGTGCTCTTAGCAACCTGTGATGCTCTGTGCAGTTTCCTGTCCAGCTCCCAAGAGCTAGATGGGATGCTCTGGTTTACATAATGCCGAGATCCTGGCAACTGGTGATGTCAGTAAACTTGGATGGGATGTAAACAGTCCAACTCTCCTGGACGCTCTGGTTGTCCCCCGCTATTAGAAACATTTTCTCCTGGAAAGGTTTACTCTGCTTGATGTAGCAGAGTAAACCTTTCGCTGCAATTTTTTTTTTTCCCCCTGACATCGGGCTGTCTGCCGCTGTCACAGAAAAAAAAAAACCAGCATAGAAATGCATAGCTAGATTGCTATTGGCTATTTCACTTTGCAATAGCAGACTAGCTATTGCACCCGCCCACTGCTGCTGGGGACTGAAGTTCTCCATCAGGTCCTCTTGTGATTGACAACAGCAGAGGGTGGGTGCAATAGCCAGCTTGCTATTGGATATTGCAAATTGAAATAGCAATCTAGCTATGAATTCCTATGCTGGTGTTTTTTTTTTAATTATTATTATTTTGACGGCAGCAGCTGTCAGAATACTAGATAAAAAACAGCAGATAGCACAGAAGCTATTGCCTCCTGTGCTATCTGCCATCATTTCAGGGGGGTGCTCTCTTCACCTCCCTGAAATGAGAAGGGCACCTCCCTGAAATTGCTTTTTTCAGGTTGGTGTCCCTGGGGATGCCACCCAGAGCCGCTGACAGTGCGGTCCTCCACCCCCACAAACACTAAACTCACCTCAGCACCACAAATGTTCACTGTCAGAACTAACCCCCCCATTGCCCCCAACGACATTGCCGCAGGTGGCGACACCTATAGGGACAACCCTGGTCCATTCACACCAGACGCATTGGGCTGCGCTGGCCATTGTTTCAAGTGCGTGGACGTGTATCAAATATTCACAAACGTGGTTAAAAAAAGCTAAGTGCATGAGCTTCTTTGTTGCATGTGCGGAAATGTATGGGCTGACATGTGGCAACAGCGGCAGTGGTGTCCACGCACCTTCTCTGTGGTCAGCAAATAGAATAATTGCACTGCATACTCAGATGCTGGTGGTAATGGTGTGGGCTGCATCAACGTGGTGGAACCCGGGATCTCTGGCTGAGTTTATTACGCTGTATAAGGCCTCATTCACACGCAACGCAAGAGCAAAATTGTATATTGCGTATATACGCTTGTACATATGCATGTATATACAAGCGTATATGCGTGCACTATTTGCAATCCCACAATACATCATTCGTAATAGAAATGTTAATGAACTGTATGTGCGTATATGCGCATAAATACGTTGCCCGGACGCATCTTGGTTCCATTCTGTTTTTGCGTATTTTACACCACGCAAATATACGGCTCCATACGCAGCTATGTGTATGGAGCCATTTATTTGCATATGCAGCATATGGTAATATACGCGTGTGAATGAGGCCTAAAGAGAATTTGTCCTTCCGATTTTCGGCCTTACAATTCAATATCCACTTAATATGTTTAAAAGAGAACTATGGTGTAAGTGTTTTTCCCCATAGTTCTCTTTAGGGTCACAAGAGGACATATACTAGCCGCTTCCCGTGACCCAAAGCTCAGTATTTTAGGAACTAGAGGTCTTGCTGCACTCCTTACCGGAGAGAACCCAAACGGGTGGGTGCTTGTGGTGACCACGGAAGGCACCGTGTATACCACAGAAGAAGAAATTAATGTCACCAGCACACCGTAGTAGTAAATCAATGATCCATTTTTAATGGCACATTGCCATTCAATGCAAGCGCCTTCGGGGCCTCAGGGGGTCCCCTTCATCAGGCTCAGAAATGGTGTCATTCACATTCCTCCGCGCTGGAGGATCAGAGAGGGGAGAAGGGGAATCCCTGTGGGGAGTGGTGACTGACAGTCACTTCTCTCTGCAGGGAGACAATCGGGAAGTAAGTGTATCGGCTGCATGTTTCTGTTCACTTCCCGATCAATAGAGCCGACCTGTGACAGTCTCTTTGTCACACGTCGGTTCTTTGAGGTTGAGTGAAAATCACTCACCTCATAGTTCTCCTTTAAGAAAAACCTTTAGGGCCTTTTCACACTATGTGCAATGATTGGCGTTTTTCTGCACTCGATCAATGCCAGTCACCTCAAGTTCACACTGCAATGCTGTCTTCAGGTGGGTAGCAGTGCAATGTGGAAAAATGAAGGCATGCTGCATTTTTTCCGCAGCGCGCCAGAGGTCGCCTGAAGTCCCTGTCAATTTTTGCACCGCAGCTTCTCTGCAGTGCATAGCAATGAAATATCACTTTGAATGTCAGTTCTATAAGATAAAAAAAAAAAAAGGTAAACAGTGCCGCTGCTGGCACACTGCGGACTCTAGCCCACACACTAAAACTGATCATTGTAATGTGGTTAGTGAATGGGCCCCTTAAAATTAGATGTGAACTTCTTTACCTTCCTAAGGCCTCATTCACATTGGCAATAACACATGCGTTTATATGCATTTTTAGGACATTTCTGAAGGCATACAAATGCATGGAATAATTTACATTGGTATAATTCACACTGTTTACCTGCGTTTAGTTGCATTTAGCTTTGCTGCGTTCAGATAAAAAAAAGCAATCTGTGCATTCAGGGGAAGATTAGATGCTCTGAACGTGTTTAAATGCATGTAAATAGAAGTACATTTAAATGCACTTTTATCTGGGAAGCAAAAAGCTTCTTATACTTCCCATATAAAGTTTCCTGTATAAATAAACCAAACGCAGGAAGCCTTTGTGCGAGGCCGTTCGTATAATGACGCAGACTGAGGCGGTTACCTCAGGCGGCATCTCATTGTGGGGCGGCCACAGTATCCTAGGTTATATTCAGCTCACTGATGTCGCCGGTTGCCAGGAGCTGGATGGGACGCTTTTGCTTGTGTCCTGCCGAGCTCCTGGCAACCGGTGACGTCATTGAGCTGGTCAGGACGCCGGACAGAGCCGATGACAGCGCGGTCCGGTGTCCGTCCCCTTTCTGAACGACAACTCAGCAAAATCGCGCACTTCTCCCCCCACCCAGTGACCATTCCCTGCCAGGACAGCACCCCCGCCACCCTGGAACGACCGCACATTGCCTCAGGTGGCAAATACCTTCGGAACAGCCCTGCCTGTGTGAATGTAGCCTAAGCCGGCCATATACCTTGTGATTATCATTAGATTTCCTTTTGTGTCCTCATCGAGCCGTCGTTCAATTTCCACCCGAATACCCCATCATGCACAGACCAATGTTGATTTCGATTATCGTTCGTTAGCAATACTAGCTAACTGATCGAAGAGCGGATTTTTGTTTGCGTGAGCAGTGTTTTTTCAGTACGAAAACGGCACTAATCCATCGATTTTTGTACGATTCGAAAAGTTTTCCAGCCTGACCGATCGAGGAAAGCCAGGAGTACAGTAATTGTGATTGTTCACTTCCCATCAACTGATCGATTATCATATGAAAACCCGATCGTGTTCGATTTCAGAACGATAATTGCAAGGTGTATGGGCACCTTTACACAATATGCTGGCTAAAGGTAGCTAAGTACACAGGGATGGCCTCATCAGTAACCTGCTGCTCCTTCACTATCCAATCACAGGTCGGACAGGTTCCTGACCAGTATGGCTTTAAAGGAGAACTATGGGGTCAGTGATTTTTTTCCCCATAGTTCTCCCCAGGGTCACGGGAGCTACAGCTCGGGTATACTGAGACCGCCGCAGCCGGGACGGATCCCGACATTACTGTCGAGATCCACCCAGCTGCGTGATTGACAGCTGGCTCTGCCTATGTAGAGGCAGAGCCAGCTGTACCCGCCCCCTTCGCCGTCCGTTCTGCCAGTCAGCGCTGGAAGATCGGAGGGGGGGGGGCGGGAATCCCTGCAGGGAGCCGTGAGTGACAGTCACGGCTCTCTGCAGGGACATGATCGAGAAGTGAGAGAGCGACGGTATGTGTTCGCTCACTTCCCGATATACCTCATAGTTCTCCTTTAACGTCCGTGAAGAATATTGAGGGCAGGCATATGGCTGTAATATCTAGAAGGAGTGAGTGAATCCCATTAGACTGTCAGTAGTGTGCAATGCTTGATTGTCATAGAGTATTGCCTCCCTGCTCCCATTCTTGAGTCCTGCTGTACAAGGAGATTACAGGAGGACTCTCTAATGATAAGACGAGGTGCTATTGAGAAATCATTTTAGCATTTATAATGAACACATACAGCGACTGGATTTAATGTGGGCCTTTTACTGTATATCTGCCTTTACAGTGGGTCTCTTTTGAGAACATTAGTACACATTTCATTTTTCCCTGCAAAGAACTAATTTGCAGGAGACGTGTGGCTGATTTTTGGGATATTAGTTTGATGTGATGAATCCCATGAGGTTTACTTACAATGACTACAATTGGCTAATAAGCTTGAAGAGTGATAAATCTTATTCTGTTCATTTCCACAATGATAATAACACTGCTCTGATCTCTTGTGTCCTAGGTCCCAAAAGAAACGACGGCCTTGCAGGCAAAGAGACTGGTCGTGGTATATGGGGGGG